TGCCCCGGCCCACTGGGCCGGGGAGGGGGAGCACCAAAAGGCCAGCGGCAGAGGGAAGGGGGCTGAGGAGGACTCCCAGTGGTGGGGGGGAGTCACGGAGGACCCTACACGGATCCGTGCTGGATCGATAACCACAGCAGGAAGAAGGAAGCGGCCCAGGATGGGGACAGGAGGTGGAGAAACACCCCCACACACACACCCCCTGAGGGTTGGTGGGTTATGGGGAAACTCCCCACCAACCAGACAGCGAATCCTATTCGCTGCCTTTAGGGTCCCGGGTCGGGACCCGGAGAGGGGGCGGGCCTGAGTCCCCCAGAACTGAGGCGGACTCATGGAAATCACTAGTTGACTGGTGGACGGAGAGATCTGGGAAGGGGGGAGCACCAGGGTTTGTGGAAAGGACGACTGCCCATTTGCAGGTACCTCTGATGAGGGGGCTGTAAACCTGAGGGGGAACCTGCGTTGTAACAGATGGTGGAGAATGCGGGCAATTGATTGCAGTCCTTGGGTGTAGGGTTTTAAATAAATAAACCACCCAGTCCATCAGAAGATGGATGTCAATAAAATGTTTGAGTGGCTGGTGGAGCAGCAGCAACAAACACAATTGCTGCAAGAGTTAGCTGCTTGCTGCCCAACAGGAGCAGCAGAGGCAGTTAATTAGGGAACTGGTGGACCAACAGCAGTCCCAGAGGGAGAGATGGCTTCAACAGGGTGTGGCCTTAGCAAAAGCAAGTGGAGGGGTGAGTGGCAGTGCCAACGACAGATCGGGAGGAGTGCTGCAGTTGCCCATACGGTTGACCAAAATGGGACCGTAGGATGACCCTGAAGCGTATCCAGAGACATTCGAGAGGGTGGCAACAGTGGCCAGAGGACCACTGGGCCACCTTACTTGCCCCCTATCTGTTGGGGGCAGCGTAATTAGCATACCTGAGTTTAGACCCCCCAGGAGCTGCTAAACTATCATAAGGTAAAGGAATTTATCCTCGACCAAGTTGGGGTAAACCCCGAGACATTCAGGCAGAAATTTAGACAGGAACACTACCCTGCCAGGGCATGCCCACGGGGGGTTGCCCAGAGGCTCAGGGAGGCCTGCTGGAGGCGGTTAGAACCCAAGAGGCGGGTCCTCCAGCACTTACTCCAGATTTTGCCAGGTGAGGCGCAGAAACGGGTGCAGGAACAGCAACTGTCAACCCTGGCCGAGGCAGTTACCTTAATGGAGGCCTATTTGGCAGCTGAAGGGATCGGGGAGACGAGCAGGACTCCGTCAGGCGGACATGGGCAACGCCCACTGTTAGGATGAGCCCGGACCCCGCAAGGAGGTAGGGGTTGGAGCCTTGGAGGGTTTGGGAGGGGGGGGGGGGGGGGGGTGGGGAAGACGGCTCCGCCAGGTCTGCAGAAAATCAGGTAGACTAAGTGGTAAAGAGGGACAAAGCCGTTAGGTGAGAGGAACTGGGGCGAGCCCCTGAGCTAGGGGTAAGCACCCAGGCAAGTTGCTATGAGTGCGGGCAGGAAGAGCACTTTTGCTGGGACTGTCCTTTCATGGACTGCTCGTTTGGGCAGATCGTGAACTCAAGCCCCCAGGCACGGCCGTGGGATAAAGAAAAGCTGTTGGTGCATGTCAAGGTAGAGGGGCAAGCCGTCTGGGCCCTATTAGATTCGGGTTGTGGGCAGACTATGGTCTGGGCCACGCTAGTTCCCCAGCCTGAGCCGGCGGGAGCCCTGGTGTGGCTGAAGTGTGTCCACGGGGACGTCCAACCCTATCCCACAGCCTGGGTATGGATGGCCGATGACTATGAAGAAATAATGTCAGGTAGCGTTAGCTGCAAATTTGAAATATGTTGTTGGGGTGAGACTGGCCCGGATTCCAATGCCTGAGAGGGGCCTGGAGACACCAAACAACCCGGGGGCCCGAGGAGGATGGAGCAGAGAGCGCGCTAGTGGTCTGAAAGGTTACGAGGAGCCGGGAATGCGATCCTCCAGCTGCGGACGAGGGAGCTGGAGAGCTGGCAACCCCTCTGCCACCACAAGAGATCCCTGAAGGATGGAGGGATGGTGACTTTGTACAGGAGCAAGGGGAAGACCCTTCACTGAGCCAAGTGTGAGCAGGCGTGCGAGAGCGCCATGGGCGTAGAGGAGACAGACTAAAGCAAGGTCCCTACTTTGAGGTATGCAGGGACTGGCTATATCGTGTAACAGAGGCCAGGGAGGGTTGTGGCCTGCTGAGACAATTGTTAGTACCAGCTAGCTTTCGGTGTCCGGTCCTAGAACTGGCCCATACCAATCCCTGGGCTGGGCATATGGGGCGAGAACCCTGCAATGCATAGTACAGAGGTTTTTCTGGCCCGGGGTGCATAGAGAGGTGTAAGACTTTTGCAGTTCCTGCCCCGAGTGTCAACTCACTCAACCTTGTGGAACTACCAAGGCCCCCCTGGTTCCCTTACCCATCATAGGAGTACCCTTTGACTGGGTTGCCCCGAATCTGGTGGGTCCCTTAGAACAGACAAAGGCGGGCCCTATGCCACCCGATACCCCGAGGCGGTGCCCCTGAAAAACACCACCACCCAAACCATAGCGAACGAGCTCGTGAAAATCTTTGCCAGGGTGGGAATATACCCCTCAAAACGCTAACCGATCGAGGGACGAATGTAGCTTCTAAACTTATGGCAGAGTTATGTTGCTTACTGCGCATTAAAACGTTGCGTACCTCTGTCTACCACCCGCAGACTGATGGGCTGATAGAACGATTTAACCTCACACTAAAGAACATGCTCTGCCGGTTCACTGAAGGGGACCTCCAGGAGTGGGACAAACTACTCCCCGCACTCCTGTTTGTGGTTCGGGAGGTACCCCAAGTGTTGACGGGTTTCTCCCTGTTCAAGCTCCTCTATGGGAGGCAGCCCCAGGGTATTTTAGATTTGTTAAAGGAAGCCTGGGAGGACCAAGAGACTCGAGTACAGGGGACGGTGTCGTATGTCCTACGCCTTACAGAGAAGCTACAGCAGCTCGGGGAGTTCGCTAAAGCGAACCTGCTGCAGGCACAGGATAGGCAAGCCTTTTATTATAACCGGGATGCCAAGATACGAGAGTTTAAGCCCGGGGAGAGGGTCCTTCTCCTACACTCAAGTGAGTCTAAACTCTTAGTAAAATGGCTGGGGCTGTACGAGATTGTCCGTAAGGTGGGCACCATAGACTCTGAAGTCCATTTGGTCGGAAAGAGGCGGGATACCCAGGTATACCACGTTCATTTGTTAAAGAAGTGGAACCCAAGAGAAGGGCTTTTCCTAGACCCGCAGCCACGGCCCACAGACCTGGGGCCCTGGGCTGGGGATCTGACGGTAACACGATCTCTGGATCTAGGGCCAGACCTCACGCCTGTCCAAAAACAGGAGGTACAAAAGCTGCTCCAGGAGTATAGCTCGGTCGTAAAGGTTAATGCCAGGGCGTACCGGGTGGATAAACCACCATGTCGCCACCAAACCAGGATGCAGGGTCCGTGAACCAGTACGTCCACTCCCTAGGAAGATGTGGGAAACAGTGCAGAACAAAATCCAGAAAATGCTGCAGTTGGACGTAATTGAGGTGTCATGCAGTGACTGGCGCAGCTTGATCGTCCTGGTTCCGAAACAGGATGGCTCAATATGATTTTTGTATCGATTTCTGGAAGATCAACGCGATCTCCCGGTTCGATGCCTGCCCCGGGTGAATGAGCTTTTAGAGCGGTTAGGCCAGGCCCAATATATTTCCACCTTAGATTTAATGAAAGGGTACTGGCAAATCCCTCCTGACACCTGCCTCTAAGGAGAAGACCTTGATCTCTACCCCCTTCGGGCTTTATCAGTTTAAAACTATGCCGTCCGGACTCATGGGGTGGCGGCAATGTTTCAGAGACTGATGGAACGGGTTTTGTGGGGCCACCAACAATATGCTGCAGCATACATTGACGACATAATCGTATATAGTATGACCTGGGCTGACCACCTCCAACATTTATGTGCAATTTTGGAAGCCTTGCGGGAGGCAGGGTTAACAGCAAACCCAGAGAAATGCTATCTGGGGTAGTGAGAAGTGACACATGTGGGGTTCACAGTAGGAAGGGGCCAGCTGAAACCCCTGGTGAGCAAAGTGCCGGCCCTGGTGGAGTACCTCCCCCAAGACGAAAAAGCAGGTCCGGCAGTTGCTAGGGCTAGCCAGATACTATAGACACTTCATTCCTAACTTTGCTTCGGTGGCTGCGCCCTTGCCCACGTGACGAAAAACAACCACCCGAAGCAGGTGATATGGACTGAACAATGCGCGCATGCTTTCCAGCAACTAAAGACAATTCTAATGCAGGCCCCAGTATTATTACAACCAGACTTTTCAAAGGAATTGATCTTGCAGGCCGACGCTTCTGCAGTCGGGCTGGGAGCAGTGTTAACACAAAACATCGAGGGACAGGAGCATCCCCATAGCCTACCTAAGCCGTAAACTGCTCCCACGCGAACAACGGTACGTCACCATCAAGAAGGAAGCTCT